TTTACAACATTTGTATGCTGCTGTTGGAACAATAAAGTCGTAGCTCCCAGATATAGACAATGGAAGCACTTCACAAGGGAAGCTGCTCTAATTACTGCATTGAAGGAACATTCAAGCTCTATTGTTGAGATACTCAGAAATTAACCCTGCAGTACATATTTTGTTGTAAACCGCGTTGAGTCGCCAGTTAGGCTGAGAAACGGCGGTATACAAGGACAGTAAATAAATAAATAAATAAATAAATAAATACATGACATACCACAGATTTTTTTTAAAGGTTCATTATTTGCCTAACAGTAACTATGGGTTAATTGTCTTAGTTCCTTCTTCAATCATTTTGTAAACACTATAATTGCAATTAGATTCTTCCAAATGCTAAATGAATCCATTTTTAAAAAATTAGGCTATTAAACCATTGATATTTAAGAAAAGGAAACATCACAGCTCTGACATTTTCCAGTTTTGCAAGCACTCTTCTATCTCCCTACCAAACTAATCAATGTTTCCCTGAAGGATAGGGAAAAAATGGAAATCATCAACATTTATCTTTTTTTTTGAAATGCTGTGCCACTTCTGAAGGTTCAGGTTCCAAATGATCATTTTTGTGATTTGGCCAAAGCTCAAAGAAATCACATGTTTAATGATCCGAGGACAGCTTTCGTGGTGTCTGGGTAAGTACTGTGCCTCAAACCTTGGATCTAATTAAGTCTTATTCGTAGTGTCATATATGAGCTTGTCAGATTAATTCAYACAAGAATACAGCAGGTCTCAAAGCAAAAGGAAAAAAAACCTTTCGTGCATTTAGTACTGGTGGAAAGTAGGAATCAATGCCACATCAGAGTCAATCTAGRCAAGTTGTATYCATTTATTCAGTTACTGAAATTGTGTTGAATCAGATAACCCAGAGACCTGCTGTCCCATAACTGTCACAGAAACMATGTTAAAATGTCACRGGTCACCCCATGTTTCCCACAAGGTTTTCTTCCAGACAATACAGAAAACAAGAGATTCCCAGAAGAGGCCAAGTCTGGCTGCCAGAACTCATCTAAAGGAACAGGCAATCAAGGGAGGGGGGGGGGGTTAAAAGGAAAATCATCCATACAGATGGCCATCATGTCTCCTCTCAGTCTTCTCTTTTACAGGCTAAATGTGCCCAGCTCTTTAAGCCACTCCTCATAGAGCTTGTTCTCTAGATCCTTTATAATTTCAGTTGCCCTCATCTGCCCTCCTCTCCAGCTTGTCAACATCAGCTCTAAATTATTAAATATGGTTTTCTGTGGGCAAGCAAATGGACACTACTGGATGGCATATATTCTGTATCAGAAACTAGAGCTGATGTGGTCTATCCAATGTAATTTTTCTGAATCAGTACCCCCTAATAACCAAACTGAATCTAAAGTTGACCAAAAACCGATTTGTAACCCTTTTGGTACTAATGTTGGAGAATGGTCCCTGGTCAAAATAGTCTCTGGTTAAAAAAAAAAGGTTGGGAACCACTGATTTAAAGCATCCAAATATGAAACAAATTTGCTAATTTTAACATCCAGACAAATAGTAAATGTTGAATAAGGACCAGTGCTTTACACTGGGTAACAAGAAAGTGGGATTCTGATAGCTTTACCTTTAAACTACCAAAGCTCCTTTTGTTTAGAGAAGAGGTGGGCAAAGTGTGGCCCCGTAACCCCCGAATAGTCTTCAAAATTTAAAAATCTTGGGAAACTTTCACAATTGGCTTAGAACAGCTTCAAAACATATTGTCTTGTTTCCCTCCCTCCAAATTGATAAAAACCTAATATACAAGGGGTGTTCATTAAAGATTTCCCCTGACTCACTTCTATTTATTATAGGATGCTGAAACTGCACATGTGTAATGATATAAGTCTCTATAGGTTATGTGCCAATTTACAACCCAGAACTCATAACGGTCTTGATTTTACAGCTGCTGAAGTGATGTGAAGTTTGATAATTGACCCAGTGGAATACAGAGCAGTCATCAAGTTCCTTTACTTGAAAGGCCGCACACCAAAGGAGACGTTCAATGAGTTGAAAGAGGTTTATGGTGATGATTCCTCATCATATGATATAGTCAAGAACTGGCATCATCAATTCAAATGTGGTTGGACTTTGGTGCAAACAGCTCAGATTCCAGGACGACCCCACTCTGGTATTGATGAACACATCATCCAGCAAGTGGAGGTCACAATTTTGGAAAATCACAGCATAACCATTTGCCACCTAGCTCAAAATGTCAAGTTGAGTGTGGGTTGCATGGAAAAAATCATCCAAGACCATCTTCACATGCATAAGGTATCTGCTTACTGGGGGCCCCAGCTGCTCACACCTTTCCAGAAGCAGGAACAAGTCAAATGCTCTCAGGCTCTATTGACGATGTGCCATGGAAACCAGGAGGACTTTTTCAACAGACTGATCACACAAGATGAAAGCTTGTTTGACATTAAATGCCTACACTATTTCGCAGTATGTGGGCAAATTAAACCAATCTATGGTCGTGAGACTAAAGTCCAGTCGATGCAACGGAAGCATCATGGCTCACTGCCCCAAAGTAGACACTGCCCAACTCTCGGCAGAAACAGGTAATGCTCACAGTATTTTGGGACCAGCACAGAGTAGTACGGATGGATTTCCTAGCAAAGGGTCCCATGATCACTGGAGCATACTATGCTTCACTGCTGCAGAAATTGCAGGTGGCCATTAAAACCAAGAGATGTGGCATGCTCACTTGCATTCTGCAAGACAACGCACCAGTTCACAACTCACGTGTTGCCCAAATGGAAACATGCTCCTGTGGCTTTGAAATTCTACCGCATCCCCTTATTCACCCAACCTTGCACCATTGGATTTCCACCTCTTTCCAACAATGAAGTTATTGATGAAGAGCAAGCATTTTTCAGATGATGAGACTCTGATTTTAGAGGTCGCAATGTGGCTTTTGGAGCAACCTCTAGACTTCTACAAGCAAGGAGTTTACAATTACTTAAAAAGATGGGAGGAGTGTGTGTCCCTTGGTGGCACCGATGGAAAGAAGGACTAATAAATGGGCCAAGTTTCATTGCTCTCAGTCCACTGGAAGTGGTCTGGGGAAATCTTTAAAGAATGCCCCTTGTACCCCCTTTGTGGTAAAAAATGAGCTCAAATCCCAAGTGGTGCCACTTAAATATATATTTTGGTCAAAATATATCTGCTGTATAGACACTGGAATATTTCTTAAAATATCAGCATGGAAATTACATTTCTTTTTTAGTCTGTTATCCAGGTTGATAAGTGACACACTTCTATAAAAACAGAAAGCTTTATAAAAACATCAAAACAATTTATTACAATTATGCTGGATCAGATTAAAAATTCATCATTCGCAGCAAATTCAACCTTCATGCATTCGGCAACAAGAATGATACTGGTAGTGATTCATAGCCATCCTGATTAGTAGCCACTCATTGCTTCCGCCTCCACCATCTAATCCAATTGCCTTTTAAAACCAGCCAAAATTGGCAGTCACAACCACATCTTGTGGAATGTCCCACAGTTAAAACTCTTTCCTGTATAAAGAAGTAATTCCTTTCATCTGTCCTTTAATCCCACCATTTTTAACTTCAGTGGATGACTATGGGTTCCGGTATGAGAAAGTCTGAATAGCTTTTCCACATCTACTCCCTCCACCTCAAACAATAACGCATTCCCTTGTAAGGCAGCTGCTTCTGTCCCTTGATCACTTTCGTTGCCCTTTCCTACAGCCTTTCAACCCACTCCATGTGGCCTTGAGTTAATGTCCTTGTAGTGCTAATGACCCACTTCAAATTGGACACAAGTCATAACAGAGTAAGTTAATTAAGGAAGAGTAACACTGGAAAATACAACTTATTGAGGGATGCTAGTTAATACAATGTTGAACTGAGTGTAGTTCAGGCATGGGCAAACTTCGGCCCATGCCGAAATTTGTTGAAGGCTTTCATGGCTTGAATCACTAGGTTGCTGTGAGTTTTCATAAGCTGTATGGCCATGTTCCAGAAGCACTTTTTCCTGACATTTCACGCACAGGCATCCTCAAGCAGACAAGAGTTCTTTCTCTCACCCTGGACATTCCACAGCTATATAAACCTCACTTGCCTAGTTTCTAACAGATTCCTCAACCTCTGAGGATGCCTATTATAGATGTGGGTGAAACGTCAGGAGAAAATGCTACTGAAACATGGCCATACAGCCTGGAAAACTCACGGCAACTTTGGTGATAATGGTCCCATGTCCTGAGGGCATTTAGGAGAAAAACAGTCCTTTAATCACACCTGAAGGGTTAATGAAACCCTCCAGTCTTCCACAGTAGCCAATACCTGCAGTAAGTGAATTATGTTGTCAAAGGCTTTCATGGCCAGAATCACTGGGTTGCTGTGAGTTTTCTGGGCTGCATGGCCATGTTCCAGAAGCATCTCTCCTCAGGAGAGAATGCTTCTGGGACATAGCCACACAGCCCAGAAAACTCACAGCAACCCAGTAAGTGAATTATTTGGTTTTACTATGCAAGGACATGAGAGAAGCCTCCCACAAGGATGGTAAAAACATCAAAACATCTTGGCGGCCCCTGGGCAACATCCTTGCAGATAGCCAATTCTCTCACACCAGAATCGACTTGCAGTTTCTCAAGTTGCTCCTGACATGAAAAAAACCACTATGCCCATATGTCAGTATGCTATGTCAGTACACAAAAACATAGTTTTGAGGCAGATTATTTTCCACCTTCACTCTGTCATTGTTATCTTCATACATACAGTTCATGCAGGTGGTATATGGGACGTTCTGCAGGTTTACAGAGATAAATATATTTACACCTTAAACAAGACACCACACCACACATGCTACTATGCCCACAACACTGACTGAAAACTTATCAAGAAATTCTGCTTCCTCTTAAATTTCCAGTGGCAAGTCGTTCATTAAGGAATATATTTAAGTATCTCAGATAAGTAATCAAATAAACCAAGATATACCTGATAATAAGTTTTGATATTTCTGATCAAGATAGTGAGGTTCTGAATCCGGAGGTTGACATCATTGTTGACATGTTCGTTGACACGCTGGTTTGTTGGCCGTGGATCTCTGCAAGAAGAATATAAGGTTTTAGAAAAGGTAAAGGAATTTGTGGATTTCAATGATTATTCAAACACAATTTTTCTTAAGCACCCACTCCTCCTGTTCTTTTGCTTCCATCTATTATACATTTCTGAACTCTACATACTTCTCTATCACAAGGTCACTCTACTGTTAGAAATGAGGCAAAGTTAAGTACAAAACAGTTTTAAACATTTCAGTGTGAGTAGCCAAAATAGGGTTAAATAATTTAAATGATTCAAAGTCCCACTCTATCCACCTATCCAGACCCCTCTGTGATATGAGTTAATGCTCTTAAGTACCCCTTCCTGCCCCATTCCTTCAATTTTGTACTAAAGTGAAACTAATTCAGCTTAGTATTAGCTGAGAGCTCAAGATAACATTTCTACCTTAATGGAGTTTGAATTTTTTTTCTTGAGCCATTAGTGCCTTTTCTCCTAATCATGTTCTCTAGCCATTGAACCCACTCTCTGTTGGCACATGTAAAAATCAGTTGGTGAGTGTGTTAACAGAAGAATGCAGAGCACATTGGTTGGGCCATCCCCAGAGGCTAGCTGAGCCTGGGAGTTTTGGCAACAGTTAGATATTTAGGCTTAAGGTGTGCAGGATCTCACAGAGAGAGACACAGTTCTTGCTTCATGAGCTGCTGAAAGGAGATTTTCCACATGGACACCTAAAGATTTTTAATCTCTCTTAAAGGACATTGGATGAGTCAATGGAAGTGGTCACATGATTACATATATGTTGGTCCGCATTCCAAACAGTAAACTACTTTCGTGATCATCTGCATGGCATATTTTCTTTCTCTGGCAAGACAGTGTGTGGACTACGTGTGATTTTTCATTACAACACACTCTCCACCATGTACAAGTTAGAAACAATGCCTGAAGATATGAACAAGATGCAGGCAGGATCCCTGGAAAGATGAAAACCATCACTTGCATATTGGATCCGTGGATCATAAAAACAAAGAGAGAAGAAATGCTTGAGTTGGGAAGGGAAGCAATGTATGTCTCACCAAAGCAGAAGATTCCTAGAAAACTAAATGATCAGGTTGACAAGATTACACTAGCCATATTTGTTGAGGTAAGGCGCTCACCTATAAGTCTTCCTGTAAGTGGGGACACTTAATAACTTGTGCAATGCCCATGACCCACCTGTTATGTGGAATGGGGTTAAACTGGACAGTCAGACTGCAAGTGGTGATGAGATGCTGTTTTTCCAATGCTCAATCAAGTAATTCTAGTGTTCTAGTCTTAAAGTAAATAATAATATGACCCCTCTACCTACAATATGGCACAGTGCTATTCAATTTAACCTCCTCAAAATCCTTTCTATCATTTATGGAGCCCAGGCAGAAGGTATCTGGGCAATATAGCAAGTGTCCTCAAGGAAAAGTGTTCTTACCATACATCAAGGGAACCACTCACCGCATAGGGAAGATGGAGAAACACAATCTAAAAACTGTCTACAGACCCACTAAGAAAATCCAACAAATACTATGTTCAGCAAAAGACAAGGGGGAACCTCTCACCTCTGCAAGAGTCTACCATATACCATACAGCTGTGGACAGGTCTACATAGGGACCACCAAATGCAGCATTGCCCAAACATGAATCAAGGAACATGAAAGGCACTGCAGACTATTTAAACCGGAGAAGTCAGCCATAGTAGAGCACCTAATAAACCAACCCGAAACAGCATATTATTTGTGAACACAGAAATGCTGGGCCATTCTAACAACCACCATGTCAGACTACACAGAGAAGCTATTGAAATCCACAAGCATGTGGAGAATTTCAACAGAAAGGAGGAAACAATGAAAATGAACATCTCACTACCATTATTTATAAAACTCTAAAATCAGGACAGTAAATAGAGAGTAACACTAAAAAAAACAGGGGAATTTCAGACAAGAATCAATCAGGACCAGCTAACACCTCCCAACAAAGGATTCCCCCAGGCAGGAAGCAGCCAGGCTTTTCAATGCTAATCAGGATGGTCAATGGCAGACAAGAGTTCTTTCTCCCATCCTGGACATTCCACAGATATATAAACCCTACTTGCCTAGTTTCCAACAGACCTCACAACCTCTGAGGATGCCTGCCATAGATGTGGGTGAAACATCAGGAGAGAATGCTTCTGGAACATGGCCATACAGCCCAGAAAACTCACAGCACCCATTGATTCCAGCCATGAAAACCTTCGACAACACATTGTCCTCAAGCTGTTTTCCAACTTATGACAACCCAACCCCATAGGTTTGTCTTAAGCACAGAATACTCAGTGGTGGGATTGCCATTTCTTCCTCTGGATTATGACCCACAGCTCCTGTGGTAGCTGGTTTCCCATCCAAACATTAACCAGAGCTGGCACTGCAAAGCTTTCAAGAACAGACCAGATCAGGTGCCTTTAGGGTATTTAGTATGTTACAAAGCACACCATTCACTTTATCTACAGTGCATAATTTCTTGATGACAGCACTTGTCCCAGTTTAATGAAATCAAGGTAATGTTTGTACCTTCAAGCAAGCAATCCAGCCAACTTCCATGCACTTATTACTCCAACTGTATAAGATCCTTAGTAAGAATTATATCACTTATCTCAATCTTATACCTGGCAGTTTCTGGCCCCGAGGTATATACAGTACCAAGGGTTAGGCTGCAAATGTACGCCAAATCTGTGCAACGTTGATTTATACAATTCATTTACATCTATAACAACAGTTCCAAATTCAAAGTGTGTATACAAGAAGTAACCACAGATATGCTGAATAGCAATTTCTACTGCAGCTAACAAAAGTTACTGTTTTGGACCACAACTCCCAGAATTTCCTTAACTAGCATAGTCATTATGGGAGCTATAGTCCAAAAAGTAGCATGTTCTGAAACTGTCCTGATTTGGCAGAAACCAACCATTATGTTCTGCCATCTATTTTTTCAGCTGCTTTTTGATTGTCCCAGTTTCTGTCTCCTTCTATGGTTCCCTTTTGTAATCAGCTTATTTCAACTGCTCCAACAGAATTCAAAATGTAAAGTAGCTTGCACACCATTAGCAAAAGAAAACGGAATGGGAAAGCATTGTGCCCCTTTCTCTGTAGACCAGTGTTTCTCAACCAGGGGGTCACGAGCGGGATTCAGAGGGGTCACCAAAGACCATCAGAAAACATATATTTCTGATGGTCTTAGGAACCCCTTTGGCAGAAAAGGCTGAAGATCTGTCCGCCTGACCTTCTCTTTCTTTTTGAAAACATACTGTGAATCCTCCCACCAAAAACCCTCCTCTGTTGTGATTGGCCGGCCTCTCAGCTGGCCTCTTAGACAAGGAAAGGGCTGTTTGGCCCAATTCTATCATTGCTGGGGTTCAGAATGCTCTTTGATTGTAGTTAAACTATAAATCCCAGCAACTTCAACTCCCAAATGTCAAGGTCTATTTACCCCAAACTCCACCATGGTTCATATTTGGGCATAGTGAGTATTCCTGACAAATTTGATCCAGATCTATCATTGATTGAGTCCACAGCACTCTCTGGATGTAGGTGAACTACAACTCCAAAACTCAAGGTCAATGCCCACCAAACCTTTCCAGTATTTTCTGTTGGTCATGGGAGTTCTATGTGTCAAGTTTGGTTCATGCCAGAGGGTATGACATGTCCAGGTTTTGGTGTCCATGATATAAGGGAGGAAACCCTGCCACATCCATGCCAGTGATTTCTTGGAACAACTGCCCATTTCTCCCAACTGGTGGGATCCGCCTGCTGCCTTACCTCCAAATCCAACACCCCAACAGCATGGGATAAGTATGCAAAGTTTAAGCAGCACACTCACTCAGCTGCTCAGCAACAAAAGAAAAGCTCTCATTACAAGGCACTTAATCCATTTCATCCACAAGTCAGAGATCAGATGCGTAATTATAATTTTGAAAATTACAGCCGGTGACGGCAAAAACAAATGCTCGAGGCATTCAAAGATGGCTGGGAAAGATTACTACCCAATTCTAGGTTGTCAGCCCTGCAGCCTGTGAAATTGGCTCAATCACAAAAGATATGGGTTTGGCCTCGAAGCAACAGAATTAGACTCGGCGTTGTACGTTTTCATTAACCTAAAGAACTGCAGCTTCTCCTTGTGCTCAAATACACTACTTCAGCTGTACGAACTCTGGCAAAAGGGACTGACATATCAGATTAAGAGAAGATGGGAGACATTTCTGCAGAACATGCAAGGAGTGGAATAAGGTCTAGTTTTCACACCTGTCCCTCTTCTCCATACACAAACATGGCATCCAAGCTCTTTAATTCTAGATGGGTTTCAATTTTAAAGAAGGGTGCAATGCTTAGTATTAGGTGAGATCTTCTGAGATTCAGTAGAAGGCACCTGTGAACCATGGACAGTTGACATGCTGCTCTTCTTTCCTTCTGCTGGCAGCAAAGATCTGGATATTGGCCATTAACTGGCTATTGTGGAAAGGCCTTTCAATGGAATCGGCGACATATATCCATAGATATGTAACCCCCAAAATGCCTAGTTTCCAACCAATCTCAAAGTCTCTGGGGATGCCTGCCAGAAATGTCACTGAAATATCAGAAGAGAATGTTTCTGGAACATAGCCATACAACCTGGAAAACTCGCAGCAACCCAGTGATTCCGGCCATGAAAGCTTTTGACAACACATTGACTTATTCCCCCTTTATATCCCATTTTCCTTCCAATCAAACGCAGCACCCAAACACGAATCAAGGAACATGAAAGGCACTGCAGACTACTTCAACCAGAGAAGTCAGCCATAGCAGAGCACCTGATGAACCAACCTGGACACAGCATATTATTTGAGAACACAAAAATGCTGGACCACTCTAACAACTACACAGAGAAGCCATTGAAATCCATAAGCATGTGGACAGTTCAACAGAAAGGAGGAAACCATGAAAATGAACAAAATCTGGCTACCAGTATTAAAAAAACTCTAAAATTACAACGGCAAAACAGTAG